ACCACTGGCATTACGTAGAAACCTCTTTTCACAGGAAGCATTAGTATTGTGGTCCCAGTTCTTCTCCTGTAATGGTGCCCATTTGAGGCCTGTCCCTCCCATCGCTGGCGGTGCCTCTTCTTTTAAAGAAACACGATGCAATCACAGCCAGTCCTCAACATTCCATCAAACTCTTCCATGACTAAGAAACGATACTCAGAATGGGGCAATGCAGATAAGAGAAGACACTGAGCTGCTGGTGTGACCAGGGGCAATTGCCTTTACCTCCCCTTGCAATGGGTTAAACTTGAGGGCCTTTTTGCAAATGAAATAAAACAGAAGTGCTGGGTGGGGTGGGGAGAGAGTGCAGATCTTCTTTCCCTTCCTATTTCTCTGGCTTTACTCCACACATTTAGAATTAGGGAGTAAAGGTTTACTCAGTGGCAGATAGGACTGTCATTTAGACCTTGACTTACTCAAGAGCTCTATATTTGACTGTATTTTCTCCTTTGGGATTCACGGTTTTCTTCCTTTCTCCACACCCCCTGCCCTACAGAAGAATCAATCTCCTGAATTATGTTGTGTGTTTGAAAACAGAGAGTGTATTCTATAAACGAGGTAACTGGCAGAGCAAAACTGATCTGCTAGGAAAACATGGGGGGGGGGGGTAGAACCTGCTTTGCACACCATTCTTCTGCCCGGGCATGGTAACTTTCCTCTCATTAGCTCAGGGGCACCAGTTGGTAAACGGAACTCTTCTGGAAGGACTGTAGAAACACGTGAGGGCTAAGGGGGGGGAAAGCAGCAGTATGATAACGGAATGTTATAATATGAAGTGCCTGGCATTGGCCTGCTAAAAGCTCTGCCCTTTTCTTCATTGGCCAGCATTGCCACTGGCAACCCAATGACGCATGCTCCCTGCCATTCCCAGGCAGATCTCTGATAAGCCGTCCGTATCAGGTGGAAGGATCATCTCTCAAATAAGAGCTAGAGAGTCCGTTGCTTATCTCTGCCCGGGGCCTGCACTTAGAAAATAGCTGGTCGATTTCCAAAACACGAGAACATTAATACCGCATGCAGATGGAAAGATATTTGGATACACTGTGGGGTTCGTTCAGGTTGCAGCCTGGAGAAATGCAAAGGTGGAAGACGGCACGTAAGCCATCTGCCATTCCAGACCCAGCTTTCTCTCTCTCTGTGGACAGCAATTTGCAAAGAAAAACAATCAATGAGCCCTGACCATCTTTTTTTTTCTGTGAAAGGGTCATTTTTAGACAGGGATAATAGGAGAAGCCCCACCCCCACCCCCGGAGCCTGTTGGCAACCAGGCTTGGGAACTGTAGATTTGGCATAAGGCTGTCAGTTGCCAATTTCAACTCTGATTCCTCCACCACCACCCCCCGCAGCTTTGCCTGCTTCCAATTCAGCACTCCTACCCCCAGTAGCGTGTGAACATTTCCTAGAAACAACACATCCAGTTTGTCTCCCTTCCATTGAAATGTTCCCATTCTCAAAGTGGGATGCCTCCAGGGGAGAATGCAAAGGCCTTGCTGACCCAGGCAACCATGCTTTTATGCTGTGCAGTGCTGGGGAAGGCATTGATGCGTCCGGGTAGCGGCAAAGGTCTGATGCTGTGAAACGCTGCGGCCGATCCGGCTGAGCAAGAGCCATAAAGCTGCATCTACGTGGGGTTGTGCCAGCGCTGCTGAAGAATAAACCACCCCGGGACAGAACGTACTTGTTTAATCACCGAACGGCCTGAGGACATCGGATGCTGTTACATTGTAAAAGCTAAGCAGGTCTCAGCCTCGGCCAATGCTTGGAAGGGAAACTGCCTGGAAGCCCCCAGGGTCAGGGGCCCTGAGCTCCCAGAGGAGAAAATGAGATAGTGGCGTAACAAACAAATAAATACATGAGAGCATCATATGAGATATATATATACATATATAATACTATATCTACAGAGCCAGTCTGATGTGGCAAACAAGGTACTGGATTTGCAACTACGGAGACTCAGGTTCAAACCATTGCTCAGTTATCATGTTCTCTGAGTAGCCCTAGGTAAGCCACAGCCAAACCTATCTCCCAGGTGTGTGTGTGGGGGGGAGGGAGGATAAAATAAGCTTTGCTCTCTGAATCCTGCAAATAGTTGAGGTTATGCCCCTGAGTTCCTTGGAGGAAGGGTGGGGTGCAAATGCCCAGATAACAGAGGTGCGAGATCATGTGAACACCGACACTGTGATTGCGACAACAGCTATATCCATCTGCAATGCAGAGAATGCATGGCCCACAGTGGGATGCAAAGGGTGATACTTTCTGTCATTATGTGAAGCACAAGCATATGGACTCTTGCGCTGGTGTAGATACAACCTCGATGCCTTAAAGACTCAGCTTCTTGCTCAATTTAGGAATTCAGAATTTCTGAAGCACCCTCTTCACCAATAACTGGACTCCAGTGGTGCCTGGTGGATCCAGCTTCCCCATTCTGGAATCTTTTGCCTCTGCCTCAAACCTTTTCCTATCCATACGTCAACTTCTAGCAACAGAAGGAGGGCTGGATGGCCTCAAACTCTGGCCAGCGACTGAGGTATAGGCAGCTATTCTGGCCTGGGTGGGTAGGGGGAACCTGAGCATGGTGTTCAAAAGCAGTTGGAGAGTTTTTCGCACAAGAAGGTTGCAGGAGTTTTTGCAAAGATCCAAGGTGTTTCTTAAAGACATCTCTTAGGTGACTTAGGAGATACTTTATATGCACCTCATATTTCTAAGTGGTTGATTGTATCAAGGCAAAGGTGGCGGGAGAGGGATGGAGTCCTGACTAGATTTTGGAATCTTTTTTTTCCATGAAGGTGTTCAACGCTCCGTTTGTCTCTGTCTCCATAATGGCAACAATTTTTTTTAAAAAAAATCAGAAGCCATTACAGAAGCTGCAGCCAACACTCTCTCCAAATCAGCACTGATTCTCTGAAGTCCGGCCCTGTTTAGCTTAGGAATGCAAAAGCAGAAAACTGCCTTCTTCATCTCCCTGTCCTCCTGGACCCTGATTAGCTTCTGGGCAAAAGGTCTCATCCCTAGCCCTGGAGAGAGAAGGTCTTAGGTGACTTAGGAGAGACTTTATATGCACCTCATATTTCTAAATGGTTGATTGTATCAAGGCAAAGGTGGCGGGAGAGGGATGGACTAGATTTTGGAATCTTTTTTTCCATGAAGGTGTTCAACGCTCCATTTGTCTCTGTCTCCATAATGGCAACAAATTTTTTTTTTTTTTAATCAGAAGCCATTACAGAAGCTGCAGCCAACACTCTCTTCAAATCAGCACTGATTCTCTGAAGTCCGGCCCTGTTTAGCTTAGGAATGCAAAAGCAGAAAACTGCCTTCTTCATCTCCCTGTCCTCCTGGACCCTGATTAGCTTCTGGGCAAAAGGTCTCATCCCTAGCCCTGGAGAGAGAAGGTGAGACCAAATGGAGGAACTAATGCAGAGGGCGGCAGTCTGTGGACATGTTTAAATGCTGTCAAGAAGAGCTCTTTCAGGCCCAACGCCCTGACTAGTGGGTGATTCTGCACTGGCTTTTCCCTCCGTGGTTTTACCAAATCCACGTTGGAACAGAGATTCCCCTCTGCATTGCATGCAGCTTTCACTTTCTTTGATCATCGGGTTTTATGGTATCTTCTGCATCGATTTATGGCTGCTCAGGAGTGACTTTGCAGTCAGTACGGCATTGCCCCCGGGGTATCTGAATGTGGTTTTGAGCTGCACCTTTTCCTCAGTGTTGAGAAAATATGGAGTGAATGCCAGATGCAGAATCACCCGCTGTCCACAAGCAAACGTTTGCTCTAGACCAGTGACTGGGTCCTAACCACTCCTCCCAGTGGTACCCCTGGTTAAGCAGGGCTCTACACTGAACAATGTCTTCTGCAGTTTCCTCATCCCTAGCCCTGGAGAGAGAAGGTGAGACCAAATGGAGGAACTAATGCAGAGGGCGGCAGTCTGTGGACATGTTTAAATGCTGTCAAGAAGAGCTCTTTCAGGCCCAACGCCCTGACTAGTGGGTGATTCTGCACTGGCTTTTCCCTCCGTGGTTTTACCAAATCCACGTTGGAACAGAGATTCCCCTCTGCATTGCATGCAGCTTTCACTTTCTTTGATCATCGGGTTTTATGGTATCTTCTGCATCGATTTATGGCTGCTCAGGAGTGACTTTGCAGTCAGTACGGCATTGCCCCCGGGGTATCTGAATGTGGTTTTGAGCTGCACCTTTTCCTCAGTGTTGAGAAAATATGGAGTGAATGCCAGATGCAGAATCACCCGCTGTCCACAAGCAAACGTTTGCTCTAGACCAGTGACTGGGTCCTAACCACTCCTCCCAGTGGTACCCCTGGTTAAGCAGGGCTCTACACTGAACAATGTCTTCTGCAGTTTCCTCGTCCCATTCTCCCTGTCCTGGAACTGGAGCTGAAACAAAACCAAATATGCACACTAAAAGATTTGCAGAAGCACTACAATCTGACATTGCCAAAAATGCACGCCCAGGCAGAATGTTTTCAGGTTGTGTGGCCAAAATGCCTGTTGGCCTGTGAGGGCGCGTGATTCCGTTCTCTTGCCGAAGCCAGGCCAGTTGGGATTCAGGAGCCGCCACAGTGGGAGGATCCCCTAGCAACTCTAAGCAAGCTGCTTCCGTGCTCTTTGGAATTCAATGAGTGAGAATTTGTTGAAAAGGCCAAATAAGCAAGACTGGCCTTAATCACAATTCAGAACAAAAATACAAGGAACCCCCCCCCCATTTAGATTTTCACAAATTGCTCAGTGCGCAACAACTTTGAAAAGATTACTTTTGCATTCTGATCCATTCCCCTCCCCCAATTTCTCCACGTTTGTTTCAGCTCCAGTTTGTCTGCAGATATATATCACATTTTTCTCCTGCCGCACCTCCTACTATCGCAAACCCCAAGTATGATTTCCATTTTTAAAGATGGGCGTGAAAGAAGCCCTAGCATTTACATCCCAGATTGCTTTTTTGAGTCACACAAGATTTCACAGCATTTATGTACAGGCTGAAGAAGGAACTCGAGGCCAGGGGGTGGCAGGTGCTCTTCTGATGGAATGGAGCTTGCTGTGAAAAGCCAGAGAGGTTGGTTAATTCTTTCCCCCATTCTTTCTTTGCTGTTGTTATATTAACTCGTACATATATCTGTTTTTCTCTTTCAACAGACACAGGACCTAGCAGGCATGCCAAACTCAATCTCGGCTGGATCCGAAAATCTGCAGGAAGAAGGAGAATATGTAGACGATGTCCAGATAAATGTTGAGGGCTCCAAAGACGTATTCCTCGGGGCTCATAGCATAACGGCGGTTTCCCATCAAGAGCTGTGTATCGAAGGCCAGGAACTGGGGGAAGGAAACACAGAGGTTAAGAGTTGCTGACTCCAGCTTGGCTAATTCCTGGAGATTTAGGGATGGTGTTTGTGGAGGGCAGAGTTTTGGGAGAGAAAAATGGTCAGCGGGGATGTGATTCCATAAGGTTTTATACTCAAAAGTGACATAGGCATGTGCAATAACATATAGAGATATTCACTGGTTACAGGTAAAGGTGCATTATTTTAATTGGCATACATTCATTGGTCAGTTTCAGTAAGGGGTACAGTTACATTGTATCTTAGTTGTTTACTTGACAAGGAACAAAGAGGTCTTCTTTGACCACCCTCCAAAGATGCTATTTCCTTCAGGGGAATTGATCTCTGTATCAGTTGTCATTCCGGGAGAACTCTAGGTCCTACCTGGCGGCTGGCAACTTTGAGGTTGATACAGGCCTATCCAGAGGTCATTTTATAGAAAAAGAGGTGCAGGAGCTCATTAGCATAACACATTAGCATAACTTATTTGCATGCCACACCCCCTGACATCACCGGAAGTGTGTCAGAAGGCAACACCCACCACTCAGGCTCCACTGGACTGTTTTGGATTCCTAGCTATTGGGGGGGGGGGAATGTGCAGATCTGTCCTCGCAGAGGAGGGAGAGCTTGTACCTGAACAAAACTTGGTCTTAAAGGTGCCACTGGACTGTTTTGGACCGGGGGGGGGGGCTCTGCAGCTTACCTGGCTGCTTCTTGCTCTGACTGAGGGCTGCTGGGAGCAGGGGGTGGGGCTTGTTGCATGTGCCCGCCCCCTGGACTCTTTACTGCCGGAGCTCCACTCCTGTGAGCTCCTGCAGGAAATGACCCCTGGGACTATCTTATAGGCCTCTTGCAAGTTGTGTTTTTACAACAGTAAATTTCCTTGGCTGTTTCAGTGCTACAGATTTAAAATTGAATATGGGGTTATTGGAAAGGCCATCGTGCATCTATCACTTCGCAGCGAGTGAAAAACAGAAATGTTCAGGAGGACATTCTTATCAAGGTTATCAGAAGAACTACCATGCAGGGATAGGATCGTAGTCTATTGCAGTTCTAGCGATGCATCGCCCCTTTTTACTGCATTGCAATGTCTTCTACCTTTGTAACCCTTTGTGCATTATGGTACGGCGAGTCTTAGGCAGTTGTGTTGCTTTAGACGAGGGTTGCCAGTTCTGGTTAGGGAAATTCCTGGAGATTTGAGAGTGGAGCCTGTGGAGGGTGAATGTTGGGGAGGAAAATGAGCTCGGCAGAGACGTGAGGCCATAGAGTCCACTCTCCAATGCTGCCATTGTCTCCAGGGGAACTGGTCTCTGCAGTCTGGAGATCAGTTGTAATTCCAGGAGAACACCAGACCCCACCTGAAGGCTGGCAATGTAATTCCAGGAGAACACCAGGCCCCACCGGAAGGCTGGCAACTGTACCTAGGGATTCCGGCCTCCAGGTGGGACCCGGGAATCCCCTGGAATTACAGCTCATCTCCAGACTACAGAGATAAGTTTCCCTGGAGATAATGGATGCTTTGGAGGGTGGACTCTATGGCGTGGTACCCCCACTGAGGTCCCCGTTTTCCCTGGGCTCCTCCCCCCCCATCTCTAAGAGTTTCCAAACCTGGATCTGGCCTCCCTACCCCCCCCATCCCCATGCTGGGGGCCGGGGAGGACCTGGCAACTCTAACCCTACCTCAGACCCTTTTTTTGCTTGTATTATTGTCAGTTCTGTAATCTTAGCTCCGCTGCATTGTTTTGCTTATCAGAGATCTTCGCTCTTTGATTGAATTGTTATTCAAATATTGTAATCCGCCTCGTGTCTCACTGAGAAAGACGGGCTATAAATAAAATAAACAACAATATTTTGAAAGACGGGCTATAAATAAAATAAACAATATATTTTTTTACATTTTATTGTGCATTGCTGTTTTTATCTTACCTGTGAGGCAATTTGAAACAAACAATATCATGTTGTGGCTTTGAGGCCTTGGAAGAAGGGGTATTATTGATGCCGGTTTTGTTCTTTTAACGTCACAGTTCTGCCCTTTTGGCCGTGTGCAGAAAAAAGGGGTTTACAGGGAGACCCGAGAGAGTTTTTCTTCAAGTATGCAACGTGATCGTGGGAACACTTTGCGCATGACCTAGTGCCAAGCTCTGCTCTGGCCGGCGGGTCAGGTCTTCGTGCTCGGTTTATCCCTCTCTGGCTGTGCTCCTCACGCTGAACGCTCAGCTCCCAGGGTTCGGATTAAGAGGGAGGCTCCCTCTAGACACGAGTGCTAGACTTTCTTTCCAGCCCAAACCAGCGCATTCAAGATTCAGCTGCTCAGCTGCAGCACCTCGCCTGGCTGTCTCCTGCCTGGGCTGGATGCTCCTGGGAAAAGCCACAGGCGTCAAGAGCGCTCTCTTAAACAGGGTGGCTTAGTGGCTGAGCTATGAAATGGCCCAAATCGTACCATTGCCAGGAACTCTTTTAGGTGTGGTGAAGCAAAGCACATTCTCTCAGCCTCAGCTCACTCCCCCTCCACATACACCCACTCAGCTGTAACAACGGGATAACAATGCTAGCCCATTGACATGGCTGTTGTATGTATAATACAAGACAGTGTATGTGAGGTGCCTTGAACACTTGGGAATGCTGTACAGGTGCTAAGTTGAGAGCCAGTGTGGTATAGGGGTCAGAGTGTCAGACTAGGACTTTGAATATTCAGGTTCAAATCTCTGCTCTGCTTGTAAAGCACACTGAGAGTGACCTTTGGTCAATCACTCCTTTTCAGCATCATGTACCTCACAGTGTTGTTGCTAGGGTAGAATGGAAGAGGAGAGGGGCTTACATAAGCTCTTGAAGCCCTTGGAGGAATGGCTGGATACAAATGAATTAGATTTTTAAAACTATTATTACTGTAGACCTAGGACAAGGATGCTGCCTATCTGAAAAAGGAATTCAGCCACTGATTTAATAGTGGCTCCTCATCCAGGCCCACTGCCCTCTATGTGGTCTTCTATGCCTATCAAATAATCCTCCGGTATATCGAGACCCAGGTGCCGCATGACGGAGTGAGCTGCCGGCTCTAGTTCCAGCTCCTACCAACCTAGCAGTTCGAAAGCAAGAAATTGCAAGTAGATAAATAGGTACCACTTCAGTGGGAAGGTAACAGCGTTCCGTGTGACTTGGTGTTTAGTCATGCCGGCCACATGACCACGGAAACGTCTTCGGACAGCGCTGGCTCTTCGGCTTTGAAACGGAGATGAGCACCGCAACCCTAGAGTCGGATTCGACTGGCTTTCGAGCAAGGGAACCTTTACCTTTACATATAATTCTATTTTGGTCATGGACTCCCCTGAACATTCCAACACACTCCAAAATCAGTTCGCTCTCTGATCTGTCATTCAGAGGGTCTCCCTATCCACTGGCTGCTTTGCCTGAGTCCTGCCTCCAACATTCTAATCAGTTTGCTCTTCCTCTCCCCCCCACAGCCAGTCAGAACACAGAGGTCATTTGCATATGTGGCCTGATTCGCCTTTGCCTCGGAACACAGAGGTCGTTTGCATATGCGGCCTCACTGGCCTTTCCCTCTAACATTCTAAACAGTTTGCTGTTGATGTTCTGAGGTAAAATAAATTTCCCCTTAGTGTCTGTTGGGGAAAACCATGGTTGCAAATCTCCAGGTGAGGGCTGAAGATCACACATAATTACAACTGCTTTCCAGATGTCAGAGATCAGTTCCCCTGGAGAAAATGGTGGACTCTGTGTCCTTATATCCTGCTGAGATGGCCCCTGTATGACAGCCAATGTGACGTAGCAGTCAGGGCTTCAGCTATTAAAACTGATGTCCAGATGACCCAGATCA